TGATGGATGCATATTATCTCAATATGCCGAGCCCCATATCATATGTCCCATCAATGATCTCTGGACTCTCTGACAACATGAACTGTGGTCAAAGATTAAGTAACCTTATCTACCGTATTATCGGTCATTTAATGTATAGGTTCCTGTTTTTAGCTCCTTATGACGAATTGAAACAGAAGTATGACATTAAACCGGAAATGGATATGATGACATCATCTGGAAGAAGCGAGATAACATTATTTGCTGTAGACTGGGCATTGGAGTTTCCAAGGCCAATAATGCCGAATACGATATTTCTCGGTGGTTTATTAGCTTCACCACAATTCCCTCTCTCAAATGTAAGTAATGATCAGATATATAAATATATATATATATATATATATAAGCAAGTAAGTACTGTAATTCAACATGTAAGAGAACGCTGTAGCATATCAAATGTTTTATTTAATCTTTTTTCACTGTTAATAATCAGTGCACATTCTATGTATTAGTAACTAGTGCGCATGTGCATGTTATTATTTGTTACTTTGAATTGAATGGTCACAGTAGATATTATAGAAACGTCGCATTGTTACTTATTTATTGACAAATAACATTGAAACACACTTTTCGTGTCATCAAACACTACAAATCAATACAAATTGAAATGAATAAAAAGTGCCATGTAACAAATTGAAGAAAATGTTCTCCACGAAGTACTACAATGTACTTGTACACGCGGTGGTAGTCTAGGCCTTTAATTTCACATGAAACGTTGTGCCATTGCAGGAGTGGGTTGAGTTTATGAAGTCTGCTAGACATGGGGTTGTTATATTATCTTTTGGTTCGACGGCGGATCTTGCATTCTGTCCCGAGAAAGCGGAACTGGTTTGCGCCGAGCTTGCCAGATTACCACAGAAAGTAATTATGAAATATAATGGACCTCCACCAATAACTCTTGGTAATAATACCAAATTGACAAAATGGATGCCACAAAATGATTTACTTGGTAGGTGTGTTAATTCATATATGGGTGTATAGTAGTTACATATTTACCTAGCTGAACCCACTCGCTTTTGCAGAGTCTATGGGCT